AAAGTTAAAGCAAAAGATATTGGTCAGCAAAATAACAACTTGGTATGCTTTAAGTCTATAAACATTAACTGCATTATTTTCTTCTAAAAGAGATTTTTCAGAGACAGTTCTGTTAACGCCAAACATAATCATGCATGTTTTTGTTTACTATGATTTTTTTTTATTTTTTTCATAGTTGGTGCTTCCCCATGCAATATTGCAACAGGAAAAATAACTATGAAATAATGAAAAATATATACTTTTTAAAGACTTAATAAATACAAATTTTCTACCTTTATTTAGCGTAGAGATATTGTTTGAGACATTATTTTCGATAGATTTAATATGAGATATCCATGATACATTTTTATCTAATATTAATACAAGGAAGGTAAAAGTTGATTCTCTTGTAATAACTAAACTATTCACAAAGAGATTGAGTAGTTTTAAATTAAGGTGACCACCCTTATAAGGTTTATCGACCAACATAAATTTAGTTTTATCTATATTTATTAAAAGATTTTTCTTTTTAATCCACTCTTTAATATTTAATAATTCTTCATTAAACATTTTCAACAGATTTTGAATATTGTGTAAGTAAAAAAGATTATTAAAAAAAAAAAAAAAAAAAGTCGTCATAAAAAGAACATAATGTTTAAAATTTTGGATTCAAAATACAAGTTATTTTTCATACAGTAGGACTAAAAGTGGCCCTAAAATGATCCCTGAGGAACACAAAGGCTTTAATGTATTTAATGGTTTTATTAGCTTGATATACAATGTATTGTTTTCTGTTTGACAGTTAAATTTTAAACTAGAGTAAATTATTTTTTTAAGCTCCCATAAAGTTCTAGTATTTTTTAAAAATATTTCATAATTAACAATGTAAAATACTTTAAAAAGATTATTAAAAACTTCTAATGTATAGAAATAATTACTGAACTCATTGGGTGTATAATTTATTAGTTTGATTACCACAAGACCCGTTAACTCATTTTTTTTTTTAAACTTAAACTATTTATAATATAATTTATTATATTTTCTTGGCCTTAATGAACACATGTAGGGGTAACTTGAGGATTACTTCCAAAATTAAGTCAATGCAGTGTGCTATTAATTTAATAGCTTGAAGGTACTTACTTTTTAAAGTCAAATGATGTAATGAATCGAGTAAAATATGTAAAGTTACATTTTAGATTGCTTGATGAAGTCGTTGAAAATGTTAGAGAAAAGAATGTTATCCAAGTGATAACAGACAATGCCTCGGTTTATGAAGCAGCGGGGCGAATTTTAATGCAGAAAACGAAAAATTTGTATTGGACACCTTGTACAGCCTTGAACTTTCATTTGAATTGAATACCTTTCATTTGAATTGAACACCTTGTACAATCTTGAACTTTCTCAAATCAATTTGCAGGAAAGCAGGACTGATACAAAGGGGCGTATGATAATAAACTTTTTATTTAATAATTAAATAAAAAGTTTATTATCGTACGCCCCTTTGTATCAGTCCTACTTTCCTGCAACTTGATTTGAGAAAGTTCAACACAATACTTCCAACCAGGATCAGTCCTCCCATTTATTTTTAGCGTATTTACTACATCTTTAAAGCTGTAAATTCACAAAATAGTTAAGAAAAAAAGCAATTATCCATCATAGCGAGCTGCAAATGATTATAAAAATTATTTCAGCGAATTACAACTGATTTTATATATATATATATATATATATATATATATATATATATATATATATATATATATATATATATATATATATATATATATATATATATATATATATATATATATATATATATATATATATATATATACATATATATATATATATATATATATATATATATATATATATATATATATATATATATATATATATATATATATGTATATATATATATATATATATATATATATATATATATATATATATATATATATATAATACATATATATATATATATATATATATATATATATATATATATATATATATATATATATGTATATATATATATATATGTATATAGAATGCGTTTCATATGAACACACTCATTAGAATGCGTTTCATATGAACACACTCATTAGAATGCGTTTCATATGAACACACTCATTCAAATCGAATGTCATTATACTACCTGTTTCGTAATTATCAAATCTAAACGCATTCTTAGAATAAAATAATTTCTTAAAAAATTTAAAGCAAACTTTAGTTTTTAAACATGTTGTTAGAGCCGGTCCAAATGCTAGAATTGAGGGCCGAGGCGGAACTCAACGCAATACCAAGTGTTGTAAATAAGACGATGTCTCTGAAAACTTGGAAGTTCATTGACAATGATTTTTTTTTTCAAACCAAGGCTAAAATTTTTAAAAGTCTTCGTAAGTGGTCAATGGACGTGTTAATCACATTTGTAGTTGCTGGTTACTAGTTCCAATTTTAATACAATTAAAATTTTAATTTGGATTATGAACAGCAAATGCGTAATTAATAATAGAAGCCCAAAAAAGTTGTATACTCTTTTCTAGGCCACGGTATCTTGTCAAGCCAATGTCAGTTCAAAGAATTATAGTTAGCGTTTGATTAACCACGAGATATTACTATAATCCCAACCGAATCTTAAAACTGAGTTGCAAATAAATTTAACATTTTCTTCACAGATTTCAAATGTTGCAACCACTTTAAAGTTTTTTCTGCAAATATTTTCTTCGCAACGTCAATATACTTCATATACTGTAGCCAAAATGCGGCTCTGAGCAATTAAACTATTCGTTTCTTGATGAGTCAGTTTTTCACTTTTATTTCGCTATAAACCTATTTTTTAGTTTAGTCCTTGGTTTTTGATAGGATGAATTATGCTAAATTTTTGGTAAGTTTTAAAACAAGCAAAATTATTTTTATAGTTCTCTATAATATAATATATAGTGTTGATTTTATAAACCATAAATATTTTGAACTAAAACGTAAGCTGTAAAAGTTTAGCAAGTTCTTTGAGGTTCAATATGTTGAACAGTACTCTTTGCACTCTCTTCTTTGAAGACTCTTTCAAGTTCTTTCTAGAATGTTTATGTGCAGCATTAATTAATAAAAAAATAGTTATTGTTTTCAGTTAATCGTATGTGGTATTATCTTGCATATGTCTGCGGCCATTAAACAGTCAAACTCACGCTTAATTCAATATACCTAAGAATCCAAAGTTTTAAACACCAAGAAATATTTAACCTAGGATACCACAACGTCTCTCTGCGTGGCCTGGGCTACCATAACCTTTTCTTAACATAACCTGCTAGTCCTTGATTAGCAATTATATCACATGTTGGAAAGTTATAGGCTAACCACATATAGTGGATTCAACTAAAGGGTGATAACTAAAAAATGAGAATAATTATAATCCAATTAAATTGAATCACAAAAGTCATAAAAAGAAAAGTACGCCAATGTGAAACTATACTCTTTTTCAAATTTATTATAGATTTTGTTTTGAATCAGCTTATTTAGATGGATTTAAAATGCCGTCGATTTAAAATACAAAACGTGCAACGCGAGCGCTTTGCGAAGCTTTATAAAGTGCATTAAAACATTGGATAAACGTTCAATGTAAATCATTTAAAATAGAAAATGTTCCAGTTTAAAATATTTACTGTATTTTGACTTCTTTAACAAACAATCGTAAAAATGGTAGTCGAAGACTAGCTAAAATAATGAACAAGAGGAAACCTTGTTTGCTTAACGTAGCTTTCAACAATAATAAGTCAACAAAATATTGCAGAAAAGTTCAAGAATAAGCAATCTTATATCTGCAGAATCTTAAAAAATAAAGAAAAGTCTGCCGAAAAAATTTGAACACGGAGTGAAACAAATATCTAGCGTAAAATCTCAATGCCGCTGGATGACCCAAAAATACTTTGGAAAATGTTTTAATTTAGATGATGATAGCCAATTACCTTCTCAGAAATGAAAATTGCTGGAAACAATCAATATTATGCAGATAAAAGTAATACAACATCTCCAAAAGCAAAATACATATATAAAGACAAGTTTAAGCAATAATTGATGCATTACGTTGCTATATCTGAAAGTGATATTTCTGAACCTTGGGTACAGCTAAGTGGTTTAGCTTTTAATCAAGACGTATACCAGAATTATTGTTTTAAGAAAGTATTAGTTTCTTTCAAAACATCTTGCAGATGGCAACTACGTTTTGTGACCGGGTAGTGCATCATTGCTTAATGCAATTAAAAAGTCTTTTTGGAAAATCATATATATACCAAAAAATTCCAATTGAACAGCTTGTCCCAGTGTCACCCAATTAAAATTTTTTTGGAATATTTGAGTTCGTTAGTATACAAAAACAATTTGAGAGCCAAGAATTGGAAACAATTTATTAACCGAATCAAAAGATGTATTTGTCAAATCGATATAAATGCTGTACAATGTTTCTGTTGCAACATCATCGTAGAATTACGTCGAACTGCTAATATGAACCATATTTAATTGTTAAATATATTTTTTTTTCAAAGATAAGTGGTGTACCTTCAATTAAAATATAACTTTCATTTTCTAAACATTTGCTTTTATTATTGCCGATAAAAAAGTTCTCAATTTTTTAGTTATTAAAATATTAAAGAATCCTGAAAAAAGTTTTTAATGTAAAAATATTAAAACTATTGTACTTAAGACTGACTAACTGAATTTTTTAAACTTGCAATAGTTTGTGTTGTATCACTTGTTATGGAGTATGACATACTAGTATCCATTTTAATGACTATCATTTTTTGTTTTATTTTTTTTACTTTTATAATTTTTTGATATTTCAGATTTTTTGTAACATTTACTAAGTTTATTTATTTTTTAATTGCAAAAAGTGTAATATATAATTAAATGCTTTAATTGTAGAATAACAACCTGTTGCAGATTTGAACAATTTTCGTTTAATAAACTTTTAATATATTAACGTAATTAACGTATAAAGTTTGCTATATTATTACACCTTTTCATTTTAGAACTTCAAAATGTCGCAGCTCAAAACGACTTTATAAAACTTGACTTCTCTCGACCTTTCCTATACAGCTCTTTACTGGAGGTTTTTCGCCAAATGTGTGGAATATACCCTTTATTATTTTTTGGTCATGGATTAGTAAAAATGGCAGGCCTCACCGACCCATTTTTTGTTGTGCTTTATTTAACACATGTACTTTTTACAGTTACCATGTATTTTATAGTTGAAAAATATAAAAGACGAAAACTTCTTATGATTGGGGCTTTTGGTATGTGTAATTGCAACATCTTACTTGGAGTTTATTTTCTTTTTTATATTGAACCTGAGAATGATCAAAAGGCGTTGAGGTATGATTTATTTATTAAAGATGATGAGAAGTTAGAACCTTTTAAAGTCAAATACAATCAGAACTACTCATATTTGGCCTTTGGATGTTTTTTATTTTTTATTCTATTCTACTCCATTGGATGGGGGACTCTACCGACCCTAATTATGTCTGAAATTTTTCCTCCTCGACTTCGTGGTTTATCATGTAGTTTTGTATTAGGTGTAAGTTGGTGTTTTTCTTTTTTTGTGACAATATCGTTTTTTAAATTAGTAATTTCTTTCGGAATTCAAGTAGCTCTATGGACCTTTTCTGTGTTTTGTTTAATTAGTATATTCTTTGTTTACTACTTTGTGCCAGAAACAAAAGATAAAACTCTTGAAGAAATTGAACATTATTTCCTAATGGTCAAACAATGGTTGAATCATCTTTTTTGAAGTTGGAATCCTTGAATTTTGAAATAAAATTGTTTTAAACATTTGATTCAGCGCTTTAGTTTTTAATTTACATAGTAAATGAGAAAATTAAAGATAAAAATTAAAAAATTATTGTAATTATTAAAATTTATCTATAATAACTAATAATGATTTATTATAATTTTATTTATAATAACTTACTATAATTTTATTTAGAATAATTTACTGTAATTTTGTTTATAATAATTTATTATATTATATTATTTATAATATTTTATTGTAATTTTATTTATGAAAATTTATTATAGTTTAAGATTTTATTTATAAACATTTTGCATTAACTAAAACAAAGCCAATTTTCTTACCTATTATAAGTTGTGGATTAATAAGCATAAACTTCCTGGATAAACATAGGCGGACTAGTCTTAAAAAAAAGTTGTAATCAAAGTTATGTTATAGTATTATGAGTTTTTTTTTTCTCTTATTTGAAACATTATTCTATTAGAATTGAAATTCGAAATATATTCGAGCTAAATGTATTAATTTTTTATGTTTTGTTTATGAGTAGAAAAGAACTTATCCCTATCCGTTTAAAAATCTTTTTATTATAAAACCTGTCAAAAAATAGATTTTAAGAAATATTAGCAACTTATATAAACCAGTTTGACACAAGAATTTCAGTCAATTTTGTGAAACCTTTGGAATAAAATTATTTTGCCGATTTTTGTTTTCGTTTTTCCTACCAAGCTCGCAGGTACCACACGGAACACTAATGGGGTTTCAATCGTATTAGTACCCCCGATATCCCACTGGATGCTGGCCGTGGTTTTAATCTGGGATTTATATGAGTTTGTCCGTCGGTTAACCATTAAGGGTCTCACCTAAAACCTTAATTTACAACCTTAAGGCCTTAAGGTTGTAAATTAAGGTTTTAGGTGGGACCCTAAATTAGTACCCGACGGGCAAACTCATATTAAAAAGTTGCAAAAGGCTTGTCCTATTAAAGACCTTTACAATAATTAATAGGAAATAAGAAATAAAAAATAACTCTAACGTAGAGCTAATTATAACATTGAAACATACTCCTTGCAGAATTTAAAAAATTTTATGATCATGAGGAGTCTCATACCATCAAGAGACTTGCCAGAAAAAAATAATATTTTAAAAATATGCCTACGTGTCGATTTTTTGACAAAAATACCACTGTTTTATTTATTATTGTATGTAATACGACTAGTTTAATAATCATTAAGTCCCATATAGATAGAAAGAGAAATAAAGATTTATTAAAATAAGTTTAAAATGTACGTGTTCTAAAGGACATAAAGGTCCTATAATTGGAGACGGACAATATGCCCTTAAATAAGTAAAATATGATGTACATATTGAACGAATATAGTTTACAATATAAACATTCAAAATTTTTATCATTTATTTGCTTTATAGCAACAGTATTTATCAAAATTGCACAATTGTATTATTTTTTAAACTTACAAATGTTATCTGCGTTTACAGCTTCTGATGTCAGGTTATTCCAGATATATACAGAGAAAAACAGCATTTGCGAATATCAAGTTGACATTGTTGCTTGCGAATCTTATAAATTTGGCCACGGGTATGTTTATTATTAGTAATCTTAGAACAACTAACTTTTAAACATATAACTAAATCAGAGAATATTTATATATATTTTTTTACTATACTAAGACTACTAATGTTTTATTTTCCAGCGTTGAAAAAATATTAACATTAAGTCAAGGTTTACGTAAAAACCACATTCAACATCAAAAAATTGATGTTCTTCTTAGCAGTAGTTGTAGTTTAATTTGAACCACATACGCTAACTTTAAAGCTTTTTCACAAATTTTAATAACTTTGACAACACCGGATGATGGAAAAATTAAACCTCTTTTTTTTATGCACAATAAAACTGTGTCAGTGTCCAACTTGTAGTGTGTTGGCATAGCCAAGGTGGTAATTGATTGAAGACACAATACCAGTTGTTGTTAATGCTTGGGCACACATTCTGCACTCAATACTGTGTGAAAAATTACGAACAACATACCCTGGGATGTAGCATAACACATCTTGTTGAAGCATGCTTATGTTTTCTTCGTCTAGTTTAAAAAATAATGATTAAAGAAATGGCTGCTCATTGAACTCAATAGCTTGTACATCTTGTAGTGGCGTTTTTTGACGCGACCAATTAGACTGAAAAGTTGAAGGTAAGGCTTACAATCTAAAACTGAACAGTTTGCGTTTCTGCTTGGAGCTATACTGTTGTGTATTAGTAGCCGTTTTATTTTATATGACAATTGTTTTATATGACAATTTAAGTTGCACAACATCTGTTTTGTTATCAAATCCATTTTTTCCACAACTGCAATCAAAGGTTAGCTCAAAATAGTCCTGTAATAACTTATAAGTTAATAAATACTTTAATGGTTCAAATCCACGGTTTAATAGATCAAGAGCTAAACTCTGCATACTAATTGTACTTGTGACTAGTCGAATAACACATGTTTTACGGCAATGTGAAGCCAATGAAGGTCCATTTTTGCTGTTACCTGTGCATTGAGACAGCAGATATGCAGTACTGCTAATAAATGCCAACATCCTGTATCTACTCTTGCTGAGTTTAAGTGGTTACTTAAAAGTTTTGACATTCGAATTTTTAGAGTTCATCATGTCAAATAAATAATCAAAAACACGTATAAAGTTCACCTTGCCTGTTGCATCCTCGAAATCGTTCACATTGTACTTCATCAAAAAGTCTATAGCACCCGCTACTGATGAGCTCAAATTTTAACCAGGAACTTTTGCATTCATTTTACGTTGTTGGAAGTGTAAATGTCTGCTTACATGTTTGTTGCTAAGTGTTAACCATTCTGTTTTTGCAGTTGACATAAGAGTACAATGTGTTTCCATTTAATGACATGACCATTATTATAATTAAAAATGAAGGCAATTATAAAAATGAACTTTAGAGTTAAATACATTTAACTTAATTTAAATTTTATTTAAGTTATATAAATAAAATTTCTTTAATTTAAAACAAAATTAAATAAAAAAACTAAATACACATCAATTCTAGATTCCTAAATTCATATTTAAATACATGTAAAAGCAATGTGAGTTTTTGTAATAAAAAACAAAATGTAGCAGAATATTACTAAATACAAACATGTATTTGACCAATAAATATATATCAACTGGCACTTGATGTAGATGATGCTCCTAAATAAAATTGATGGAAAAGAAAAAAATATGATTTCTTTACAAAAGCATTTTTTTACTTTTTTTTTGTAATTTTTCTGTTCAACATTAAATTGTATTTTATTGATGTTTGACACAAACTCAAAACTTAAACAAAACTTATTTTTATCGCATTTTTATTTTTTGACATATATTTTATATTTTTAGCAAATATAAAATCAGGGTTAACACTATTAAAACTGACGCTAAAAGTAAGGATTTTGAAGAGATATTGTTCTACTATTTAAAGAGATTGAAAACATGTTATTTTTTTTCAATAAATTTTAAACATAAACAGAAAAATTATTAAAAATTCATATATTACTTATAAAATTTACTAGAGCAGTCAAATGTTATCTTTTTTTTAATATATTTTTTTTAAAGCCAAATAAAGCTAGTCGAGAACAAAGTCTCAAAAACATTAGGGATAATTTATAAGACTAAACCTCATTTAAATAAAATATGTTTAAAAAATTTATATTTTTTGTTTATACATCGTCATATTAACTATTGTAATATTGTCTGGGCAAACAATCACTCATCTTTCCTAAAAACTAGTTATACAAAACAAAAGCAAGTAAATCGATTAGTTTCGGGCATGGATAGATACGAAAGTGCCGAGCCGCTATTTAAGAATATAAATGCCCTAAATGTATAAAAATTAAACATCTACCATAACTTGTTATTTATGTTTAATTGTTAATGATGTAAAAAATGTAATTTTCCGTATGCCGTTAAGTTCTTTATATCTTTATATTATTTAAGCGGTTAAACTAGAAACCTAAATTTTTTTTAAAAGAAATGCAACCTAGTTTAAATAAAAAACACCATACTCCATTATATTTAATTAAAAATTAAAAAAACTGACGGTTAAAAACTTTTTTAAATACCATAACTGTTGTGATTATTAAATATGTATCGGTTTTCAAAAGAATCCGCACTTTACCGCTTTGCAGTTTGCAGTTCGCATTTTACCGACAACCATGGAAATAAACAAATTTCAATGTTTATTAAATTGGCCTACAAGTTACTAGAAACTCTAAAATTGTATACAAAATGACTTAAATAGTTATAGTATTTTACAATTTCTTCTTGATTTAAGGACGTTGTTGAATAATAAAAGAAAATTTCAACCCTAGTAACCCTTATGGGTGCCACACAGTTTACTAATCGCAATTATTGCAAAACTATTTTTTTAAATGTTGTATTTATACAATAAGTGACACCATAAAGTTTGATACGTTTATTTCAAACAAAATAAATATTAAAATTACACAGTTTTTTTGCAAATTTTCATCAAATCTTTGTTTTACGACATCTTTAATAACAGTTGTCTTGCAAATCGGAGTATTTACATATTTTCATCTCTGTTAAAACTACTTTATTACTTACTACCTGTCAGGATTTACTTGTCTATTTACTTAATAAATTTTAGCAAACGGCAGAAAATAAAATAATTCAAAGTTCTTAGATTTTGGTAAACAATTACTTCATTATACCTTCTTAATTACTTCAAAATGCCTTAAAAATGTGCCTTTAAAATACCTTCTTACGTAATTTTAATTGTTCTTACGTACTTCTTATGGTCTTATTATACTTATTTACTTTAATATTTTTTTATATTACAAGTACCTTACATAACTTCACATCTTTATATGACTAAAGTATTTAACATAGATGAAAGTTGGGAAACGTTTCCAACGGTGTTGCTAAAAATTTAGATTGCAGCAAAGTTTTTTATAAAATAATATTTTTTAACACTCTCTTTAAGATTTATTCAAAAAACAAAATACAGAAAATATTTTGGCTTTATTTTTTTTTTTCAAAGTTTCTTTTTGGCTTTTAGAA